ATTAATTGTATATAGTCTAAATTGTATAAAAATATAATAATTGTATAGTTCAAAATTAAAGTGTATAACTACTTTTGGTAATACTTGTTAACAGTTAATAAGTGAATTTATAAATTTTATAAATAAATTATTAATAATAATAATTTTATTAATTAATTTATAATTTTTATTTTTTAGGCTTATCAAAAGAATAAAAAGTTGCATCAAGCAAATAGCTAAAATGGGTATTTGGCTTTAATGCCAAAATGGCTTGTAAAATGGCTTACCATTACTAAATCCAGAAGAAGTAAGCGATTGCTTTACGACAGATTTGATGTCAGTTTCTCCAGATGATGAAAAGATAATTAAGTTCTGCGATTATTTAGTTGAATATTATATTGATGAAGGTGCAAAATTCAATCCACGTATTTGGGAATCGAGAGAAATAACATCGGAACGTACTACAAATAGCTGTGAGTCTTTCCACTCAAAATTAAATTCACAATTCACAAAAGCTCACCCCAACGTTTCCATATTCACTCATGTTTTAAATAAAAAAATACAAACTGACACTTACATACATATAAACGGAATAAACATCGAAAAAATAGCAAAATAGTGCTTTTAACAAAAAAAAACAAAGTATTAAAAATTAATGAAATGTTTTGAACGATAATAAAATTTCTAGGTTCACTTATTTAAAACACGTGACCAAATATTATCAAAATTAGTTTGATTTATACCTAAATTTTTATTTTATATTTACATACCTCCTATTATTATCATTTTATTCAATTTAGATATGTGACCAAATATTATGATCAAAAATATTTACATTTATGCATTTTTATTTTATACCCACATAGAATTTATTATATAATTGTATACAATTTAGGGCCGTATTGCTTAAGCATTATGACTCAAATAACATTCATAAACAAGACTTTGGCTTAAGAAAAGAAAAATTAATACTTAAATTAAGGTTGATCGAGTCCTACCTTAAGTTACTTTAAGTTATTATCACAAATTTTTATTTTTTAAAGTGTCAAATATAAAATTATTAAAATTATTAAATATGAACAAAAGTATTATAAACAGTAGCCGGTTGAATCAAAATGTAGATTTTATAAACAGTAGCGGGCGGAATCAAAATAAAACCTTTTTCCTAAGCAGGTAGTTTCGGCGTAATCAATAATTCCCCCCTAAATCTACCAACTAGATCCTATATTTTCTATAAGAAAAATGTCATTGCAGTTGATGATCAAAGTAGAAGTGTCTTTTCTACAAGAAAATGTGTATTCGGGCACAAAAAATAATAAAATAAAACAATAAAAACTCGCATTATTAAAAATCAATACATTCATCGCTATTCTCAAAATCTAAAATGTATAATGACAGACACCTTGACTATTAGGTACATAAAAAGTTAAATTCGTTTATTACTAAATCTAAAATGAAATTTATCGTTATTTTAATACTATAATATAGAGTTAATGATTCCAAACGGTGTTGGATTATGGTACATTGGTAATTTATTATTCTTCTACCATAAAAGACGGTTCTTTTTACATGCATGCAAATGTAAAAATATGTTAAACGTTATAGAAAAATTGTTTATAATGTAAATGCAAAACACTTTATTATACATTTTTTCATCACATATTTTAGAAAAAAAATACATTTATTGCAATATTAGATTGAAAAAACAGGACCTTGAATCATGGACGTGTTTCTTTAAGGCCCTAAAATTACAAAACTCCAGGCTACACACCCTCCCTACAACTCAATGCACTCCAATTATTGCCGACTTGTATTTCACGTGATACCTATGTTGTTGTGTTTACATTTGAGTATTGCGTGTGTCTGTATATATATATATACCATATACATATATAGTCACAAAATGGCCTAAGACACCGGGTGTCAAATTTCCGAAGAGGGTACGACAATGTGCGGTGGTTATAGTAGTTTCTATAGGCAAGTAACCGCACCTTGTCAAAATTACGAGAAGCGACTAAAAACGTCTATATAATCGCGTTTGCCCGTCGTCAATATACGCGACATACCCTCCGTTCTATTAAATTATTATCTCCAGCTCCTTCGTGCGTCAAACATTTTAGATATTTTCACCATAAGCTACTATATGACCTAAACAATATATATATATGTAACACACCTATACCATATAACAGAGGTTTTTCTTGATTACATGGTTATAACGACCAGCTATATAATATGAAAGATATAGCTGTTGCCTGTTGTTGCCATGGACAACGGTCCAAGAAAATGTACTGACATGATAAGACGCCGAGTGAAGAGGTCCACTGTATACAAACTGTACACAGCCGAATGGACCAAAGACCCGAGGAGTATATATTATTATTACACGAGAAAAAAATAAGAGTAGCAAAAAAAATTATTTAGATTTTAAAATTAAAAATACCATAAATCATAATATATTATATTTAATAATTCACACGATTTTCGTTTAGGAGGTACAAACAAATAAGTTGGTTTATTTTATTTATTTATTTATTTTACTATTTTTTTTTATTAGACTAGATTTATGTCGTTTACAAAATATATTTTTTCTCTTATGATAAACTTCAATACCTATAGTATGTATACCAAAAGCAATGTTGGTCAAATGCTTTCTGAATCTACATAATATAATATAGAAGGTTCAATATATTATTGTCTTTCTTTTTCCTAAAAGTACGGATGTCTCCGAATAATGGGTTGTCAAATTTGGTTTGCAGGACTTTCAATTTTCAGCATCGGAGTTGGGGTATCCAAAACAAAGATTACAGCATTAACTATGATCGAAGGGCTCTCTGAACCCTCTATATGCGCAACGCATCGTATATAGAGGCGGTGATTTGTTAACATAGAGCGACGTCGGGGGTAAATTGATTGTGGAGGGATGTTTGATGTCGAAATGAAGATAAATCACCTTAAAAACCCGACCCAAGTGGGTGGAAACTATTTTTGGATCGACTCATCTTACAACACACACACGCATTCAAAATAATGCGTCTCTTTAATGTTTTGTAACGATGGATAACTATAATGCAAACAAAAAAACTGCATTCTTGACTTGATTTAAAATTGTTTACTTTACGAACTGTCGAACTGACAACTACCTATATACCTACATTCTGAGATGATTTATAAATCTTAATTACACTTAGGTGTACGTCTTATGCCTACCTGTTATAAATAATGTGTTGTGTGAATACATCTATAAGTAACCCTATGTTGTTGATTAACTAAATTGCTTTTTAAGATTTCGGATACATTTCCCGTTTAATGGAGTGGAATAATAATAATTATTGGGATAACTGAAACAAATATAATAATAATAATGATATAAATAATAGTGTTCGTAGTAGGTGTATGTTCAACAATACTTCTTAATATCAATTTCTGAATATACAACATCAGAAACATTACGTGACTAAAGTTCGAAGCATCTAAAATACATTCGAAATTGAATTTTCATAGTTCCACTATGACGGTGACTCACGGAATATACTTCGAGGAGTCCAATACGACGCCGGAAACCTGAAAAGTGTCGAAAAGAAACGTCGCGATTTAATATTACAAAAACCATATAGGGTTGCTCCGTTTACAACAAACTTGAACGATTAGCTCGAAGGAAAATGTCACGGCAGTGTGTAATGATGTGAAGCCAGAAACCTACGCCCTTGATTATTATTATTTACCGGATACCATAATCTTATAACGTCCAGTATAATATTGGGAAAAAAAATACACAATATCTAAGCCGGTGATCAAGGTGTGGCCACTGTGTATAACTATTATTTATTTTTTCTTTAATGCGAAACTAAATTACACGAGTTTTTTTCCGAACGACCGCGCGCGTATACTTAACAGATTGGCGTAGGTAATCGAAAAACCAACCTCATACCATATCATATCCCAAATCGTATAATGTCCTTGTGTTTTATTTTCTCGTATACTTTCAAAATATGTTCATAATAATTGTATCATATACCTACGATGCACGCATTTGCGTTATATTATTAAGAATTGTATTGTTATACTACTTATACTGATGGGTTTTTATGGTTCAACTTCAACCGATAGTGTATAATAATATACACAGCATTATATTATAGCTTCGGGTATCATAGGGCTTGCACGAATATAAAATATATAACTAATAATATATTATACTCCTTGTAAATGCATTGAAGTATATCGTATATTATTAAGTATATCATATAGGTGACTGTTTGAATTAAAATTAAATTTCATTTTTTACACATATGTATCTACCTAGGTATAAGTAACATATCAAATACGTATCGTCTTTTTAATGACCGACACAATTTATCTAAAAATAGCTCAATACATACCTTCGGGTACCAACGTGCATATGACTTGCACAAACATAATATATACTCCTGTAAGACATAAGTGCATGGAAGTCTATCGCATTATTAAAGTAGGTGTATAGGCGTCTGTTTGAATACAAATTGAATTTAATTTTGTACACATACTCAAACACACATCGCTTATGCAATAGCCTATAGGCTGTAATAGGCTGTATAACAGGGGTGGCCAAACCGCTGCTCACGTCTTAAAATGTTTCTTCATATAATTTTTCATTGTATTGTGATGCTCACGGCTGCCTTATCGCTGGTCGCCCTTGGCTGTAATAAATGAGTAACAATCGAACTAAAATGGTTTATTACATACATTTGATAACATAATATATTATTTTACTCTCCCAAAATGATAAAGAAAAAAGAAACAAAGAAGTTGTACACTATATAATTATATTTTGTAATATTGGTAAATACTTTTGTAGGTATTGAAATTGGCATGGATACACATATTACTGTTATTTTACAAATCCGGAAAATAGTGTTTTTATTAGAAATTACAAAGTATAAAAATAATAAATTCTGAAAAAATCAACTTTCCACCCAAAGTTGTAATTCTTGATCAACCTTTTAAGCCTTATTAAAACCAGAAACTTATTTCATGATAAAATGGGTGGAACACTGAGCAATAAACGAAATAACAATGGTATAGGTGTACTGACTACCGGAGATAACGCCGGTTCTCTTCAGATGAGTCGGATGGATTGGCGAGACGAAGTTGTAAGACATTATAGCAAACATCATAACCCTCAAATGCGTCAATTAAATTACGAACGCAACATAAACGCCTATGAATCCGTTCTAAAAGAGTTGTCTGAAAAGGAGAGCAAAACTTACTATCAAATATGTAAGGACTATTTCTTGGATCTTAACACTTTTGGATAAATTCAAAATGTTTGAAGTTCAATTGTTTGTTTTTACCAATACAATATAATAAAATATATAATAATATGTCTTATATCATGATTTTTCGTACAGTTATTTTATATTTTGTATTGTAAAATGTCGACATTAAATCAGATGCTTATATATAGACAATAGTTTGATGGTTCTTGGCGGGAGTATAAATCAAAATCAATATAAATTACAATTTTATTTTTATAAAATAAATAGGTAGGTAGCTTTATTTTGAAAAAAATATAAACATATGAATGACAATAATAGCGATAGTTCATTTTCAAGAATACCGTTGTGAATGACTTTGAAGGAAGTCTTCCAGTTGAAAAACAGCAGAAATCTGACGATTTGGTTACTTCATTAGATAATCACCTCATGGCAGTATGGCACCATCCGCGTTCAAGTCTTCTGGGTGGATTCACTGAAGGGAAGCTTTCTTTTTAGGAAAATTGAGTGAAATGGGTTGATTGGAATTTAAACAAAGTTTTACTTGGAAAATATATTGGAGCATACCAGCAGTGGCGTATTTAGACATTTTGCTAGTGGGATATGAAATATATAATAATTAATAATACCCTATAAATACGTACATAATATACATTTTTGAAATCCCCTAACTTGTTACCTATTGAAGTAAGTGGATCAAGGCAAAATAAGAAACACAAACTGTATACTACCTAATACTTATAATAGCATTTATTATAAATTAATAGTAGCGCCAATCCCGTGTTTAATACGATAAACAAAAAAAATAGTTATAATACAAAGTCCAGTTTTCTCATTTTTTGGATGCTCAGTTCATCGATAACCTCATTTGGCATTATTATTGTATTGACCGGTGACATGTCAATAAAGCCAACACATTAAGGAATAAGGGCCTGTATTACAATAGGTTAAACCGCGGAATTCGGCCTGTAAAATCAGTGGGTTGAGTGTCACCATGGTTTAAACTATGATTGTAAGACGGGCACTAGTCGGTTGGGTTAGGTTAGGTAAGGTTAGACCTAATCGGTTCTAATAAACAAACTATATAATAATTACTACTTAATTTATAATTATTATTCAATATTAGATAGGAAAATTGATATAATATTTACTTCTGTCATAATGTCATATCATTTATATTAGGTAAGACTTCTCACCTAATAAAAACTTGAAAAACTTCGTTCAGGTGTAGCAGTTGATACAAGGAAAGTACAAAATATTTTCAAGATTTCGTGAATATTTGGATAAACTCTTTATAACAAATATCTAATGCATGTAAACCAGAGGTGAATAAATTTTTTTCAGTCCATAACTACATATCAGTCACTAAAAATTAACCCACTTCCTATGGTAAATCTACAGTTTTCATGTTAATTTTGTTTTATTTACCAACTGTTTATCTCGTTTATTTTGTTATAAACACTCTTGCATGAAAAATAATTCTCAAAAAAGTAAAAATACAGTACTTACACCATACTACCATAGAGGTATATGTTTTTTGTTGTCCGATATATATGCCACATATATGTGGCGAACGACTAGTGGCGTATAGTATATATCAGAGAGGTAAAATTACCAGGGCTAGAACATTTAGAAAACAGACATACTTAAAAGTAATATCATATTGAGAAATACAGAAAATGAGAAAACTTAACTTTACAAAAAAAAGGTCAAGGGGGGATCTATCTCCCATATCCCCCCCCGTAAATATGCCACTGCATACCAGCATGCGATCATGCGAAGGCAGATGTTCTGGGGAAAGCTTGAATAGTTCTTTATTTAAGGACTTGGCAGGACCCCAAAGAACAACGTCACACGCCCAAAATTATTGAAGACGAGGTCCATATACAACGAGTTTGTGACTTAATGGTATAAGTGCGGCATTAACAGGGAATACCGAAATTATTAATATTTATAATTGAGTATTATAATACTCAACTTTATACGTTAGGTATCTTTACGAGAAGAGCCTCAGCGGTTAAGTGGCTGTCGAAATAAAAACGAAATATGGTAGGTGATACATAATGTAATATATGTTTTTGGTGTCATAGCAGGTAGTTACACAAAAATGTATGTGATATTATTTTTTCATGGGGGGGGAAGGAGGTTCTACGTCCCCCCACGGACGGCAAAAGTCAAAAGAATACAGCACCCTGAGCGAACACACGCCGTGGTGTCTACTCATAAATATCTAAGCCTTTACACCGGTATATTGCAGCAGTGGTTACGGTACGATGAGCACACACACCGAACACACCTACCTATTATGTGCATATTTACGGGACTATTACCTCTGCATATACGAGTGTTATATATGTGTATAATATACTATTGTAAATTGTAACGATGAATATATAATATAATATGGTACCTACACAAGCATAATAATATATATCGCAGATGTGCCGCGTGTGCGCGGTGAAGACGACTGTCGTGAGCGCTGGTAAAAAATGTACGGTACTCCAATATATATATATATATATATATGCCTACTGTTATTCTTTTCCGTGACGTTTTTATTATATCCTTTTTCCGCAGGTCCTGCCCGTGACACACATATACAATATTATCATCTACACACGTATGACATATACACACACAAACACACGTACACGAATGAATACACTGTACACAATAATATATTATATAGGTGTGTGTGTGCTCAGTATAATATAATATAATATTATATTATAATATATAACAATAATGTACGTTGAGAGACAGAAAAATAAAACACACTCTACACACGTGTGTACTAGACATACGCCCCCTTTTGTGTCGTCGGAAGTTTTCATCCTCTACCGTTGATCCCTGTGATGCTCTTTGTCGTCCTTTCCGACGAGTACCTACCTACGGTTTTTTTTTACCGTCATCGTCGATTTTTTTTGTCATAAATATCATTTTTATTCTTTTTCGTTTCACCTTTCCATGGGCGCGTGCTGCGGAAACGCACCCCGTTCATACATAATGGCCTTTAATTGGATTCATTTGCTTGATCACATTTGTATATATATATACCTATATATTATATTATATATAAAGAGACGTCAAATGACGCCGTGCCCGCGCATGCTCGGGCATATGCGGTATCGTGGCAGAAAAGGCCTCGACGGGAAGGGGAGGAATAGACGAGGGGTGGAGAACGATGATGATGAGGAGAATGAGGAAGAGGACGAGGAACTGGTCGACTGAAGGGAGTGGGCTAAACGGCGTACGTCTGGCTTTTAATTAGCTACAAAAAAACCGATTCAATTAGTGACCGTCGCGCCCGCCGAACAACAAAAGCCCCGGAGGCTGTCAATTAAATATTGCATATACATACAATACTATAATGGTGTATGACGACCGCGGCGGAGACGACAACGGAATGTGTTTTAATCAGGAAATCATCAATGAGTAGTCTTGTTATGTGTGTGTGCAGTATGCACATTGCACGTACGCTCGCTTTTTGTAGTTTATTTGTTATTTTTTGCTGTATAAAAACGATCCGTCTACATTCGACGCCCACTATATCTATTATTATGCTCGACAACCTTCAAGTCCATACTGAAATAATAATAATATGCGTACTACCAGTCAATACTATATATTAGGTGTATCATGACACTGCTCGTATAACATATTATAATATATCTATAGGCTATATGGCTGTTATATTATATTAGCCGCCGCTTATTGTACTCGTTTTCTTATTTAACTCGTTCACCTAAATTGGGCTCATACTGCAGAATGGTCCCGATTTCCATTGTCACTTTATTACTGAAACATAAGAAAAAAATCGTCTACTGGACTCACCTCACTGCTGTTAACGTGTATTTTTAAGAACATGTATTTCCAAGTTTTTTATTAGATTTTCCCGATTTTATCGTTATCAATGTTCGTGTTTCTTTTTTAGTGACAACATACATTTGAAATACGTAAATAAATAAATACATGATATTATATGATACCTATTATAATGAATATTTATTAGTAAATATCCAAATTTTATTTTTTTAAATTTTTTCGCTTTATTGACTGATTTGGCTTATGGAATCAAATGATGTAGTCTTAAAATAAGTTCGATAAGCGGCGACTACTGTGTGGTCGTATATTATTATATTATATTATGTAATACGTAGGTACGTAATTTTGTTATTATATATCGTTACACTAATGACAATACCACGTATCTGACATTTTACACAAAATGAGTTTTTGGTATCAAAATATTTGGAATCTCCTTGCGCACAAAATTATTTTCTGATACAATAACCTAAAAAAAATTATTTTCCCTCCAAATTGGATTTAAGTGATAACACGTATCCAAATTGTATCTGTGACAACACGTATCTACACAGTTTATCGTGTGAAGGATTCGAGAACGGATTTGCATACGGAATCCTTCCACTACAGCAGGTATTTATTACATTCAAATTTATAAACACGATACATAGTTGTTCCTATTTAAATTACAAATAAATTATTTTGTCATAACTATGAAATTCATTAAATAAAATCACTTCTTTAATACTGTTTCAGATACGTGGTATTGCAATATTAAAAAACAAATAAATTTTCAGTTACGTGTTGTTGTACCTTATACCTACCAAAGTAAAAATTATTTTTTTAATTATTATTAAATTATTTTTACTATAATATTAGTTAGCTGTTGTTTTATTTTAAATATAACTATTAAACATGACATCAAAATCAAGAATTAAAAAATTAGTTAATCTTGCAATTTATAATAACACAAGTTTGAAAGACCCTGAGCCTGTTAGTTATGAAGATTTAATAAATTCTGCTGAAGTTGTATTTGAAGATAATTATATACCTTTAGAAGTAACTACTGTACAAAATAATAATGAAAATGAATCCATAGAATATGATGGCAATACGTTTATTGAAAACTTACCTGTAGAAAAATATTACAACAATGTTGAAATCCAGAGTTCTGAAAATACATTATCATTAGAAAGTGAAATAATTTGTCTTAATGATATAGAAACTAATATCAATGAACTTATTACAAATGATTTTTCTGATGTTCAAGAAAATAGTAATTTAGATCATTGTGCTGAAATTAATTCCAATTCAGGTAAAATTAAAAGAAAACGAAATGTATATCCAGACAGTACTAAATGGAAAAGAGAAACAAATAAAAAATTAAGAATGAAAGGAGAGGCATATATAGGGTTCAGTCGTACAGGAAATGTTGTACAACAAAATATATCTAGGTCTGAACGTTCTTTATTGGATACTTGCTCATCTAATGTTTGCTTAAAATCCAAAAAACGATTTTGTAGTGATTTTACTGAGGAACAAAGACAAAATATTTTTGATCATTTTTGGAACGCTTCATGGGAAGAAAAAGAAACATTTGTATTAGGAACAGCTTTGGTAACAGAGGTTAAAAGAAAAACAACTGAAGAAAATACAAGAAGATCTAAAACTTATAATTATCACCTTAGGTATAAAGATAGTCTGCCTATTCAAGTTTGTAAGAAAATGTACCTAAATACATTATGCTTAAAAGAATGGATGGTATTAAACTGGGTAAAAAAAAGTGAGCACGGTATTCCAAAACAAAACCAACTTATTTCTATTGAAGAGCCAGACACAAATAATGAGTCTCCTACACAGTATAGATCAGTTCAAAGTATTTCAAGAAGACTATCTTATGCTAATAAATTAGATTATCTTAAGAATTGGTTTGATAGTTTACCAAAACTTCCCTCCCATTATTGTCGTAAAAGAACAGAACGAATTTATTTTGAAGGGCCATTCAAAGATGTGCAAGCAATATATAATTTATACACAGAAAAATGTATTTCAGATAAATTAGCTCCATTTAGCAAAGCTTTTTTTGTCAAGTATAAAAAAGAAAATAAGTTTTCAATATTTAAACCTAGAAAGGACAAATGCGATATGTGTGCTTCGTATGAAGTTGGCCAAGTCTCAGAAAATAAAATGGCTGTACACATAGCTCATAAAGATCGTGCTCGGGCTGAGAAAGAATTTGATAAACAACTTTCCAAAGAAAATAGGGCTCATGTATTTACAATGGACATGCAAGCAGTTAAATTATGCCCATATCTTCAAGCTAGTGCATTATATTATAGCATGAAATTAAAAGTACACAACCTAACTATATACAATATTGGCAATGCTGAATGCCACAACTATTGGTGGTATGAGACTGAAGGAAACCTAGAAGCATCCGTCTTCACCACAATACTCATTAAACATCTTGAGAAGGTTTGCCTTGACCAAAAACCAATAGTTGTGTATACAGATGGGTGTGGATACCAAAACAGAAATGTAGTACTTTCCAATGGCCTATTAAAATACTCTATGAAATATAAGGTAAGTGTAACACAAAAATATCTAATAAAGGGACATACACAGATGGAAGTTGACAGTGTCCATAGTCTAATTGAGCGAAGTTGTAAAGAAAAAGATATATTTTTACCCACAGACTATGTGAGATACACTATCAATGCAAGAAAGTATCCAACTCCACTTAATGCTCAATTGCTCACACATACTTTCTTTCATGACTATAAAAAAAACCTTATTTATAATTCCATTAGGCCTGGGAAGACTGTGGGGGATCCTGAGTGTAAGGATTTAAGAGGACTGATGTATGATCCCTCAGGAATTATATATTATAAATTAACATTTGATGATCCTTGGGCTGAGTTACCCCAACGCACAACAAGAAACAAGGCTGTCCTTGCTGAAGAAGCACCACTACAGCCATTATACACAGGACCACTAAAACTTACTAGAAGTAAATGGAACGATTTACAAAAGTTGAAAAAAGTTTTGCCTGTGGATGTGCACCCTTTTTATGACACATTGCCATATGAATCTGCTTTCAAAGAAAGAAACCAGAAAATGTGATTTTAGTTAATATTTGATATTTTGTACATAATATTTTAAATAACATAAGAATACAAAAGACTGTTAATTGTTAAAATGAAAATACTTAAATACTATTGTTAAATATTGTTTTTTTTTATTTTGTTTCAAAGTTTTTTTTTATTAATTTTAATTTTTTTAATTTTTAATAATCTATTTAAATAAAAGTAAGCAAGAAGCTACACATTGATATTATGTTGATTTGTATGAATGTTTTTTTTTATTTATCCATATTTTTAAAATGAGTATAAACATTAATAAATAATATTGTAATATTTATTTAATAATATTATACTAGGAACTACTATTAGTATTTTTATAAATTTCAACCATATAAAAACACTGCTCAATAACACGTATCTCACAAAAACTTTAGTAAATACCACGTAACTACACTAAAATTTAAACAGCAACCAAATTTAAAGAATTTTATTAAAAATAATGTCAAAAAATCATAACTTAAATTTAAACTTGAAAAAAAAATTAGGTGTATAATATTTGTTAATATTTATTCAGTTTTTTCACTCTCCTGAACAATTGGTAAAATGTAGATACGTGGTATTGTCATTAGTGTAACGATATACTACTGCAGTGAGAAGTGACAACTTTGATATTTGATCTTGATCTTTCGACAGTCCGACAGTAGAAAACCGAATTTTATTAAAAGACAGCCATGATAAATTATGACAAAGTAACGATTATTGACCATCGAAATCGAACAATTTAGGTGAATGGAACCATACGGTGTATATAATACTATAACCACTGATTATATACTAGGTACCAATAAACATTCGTATTCTACACGAGATGACGAAATTTAATGACCAACTTAAAATAGGTACTTTTATTACAATTCTTTCTATATACATGTTATAATAACGTGGATACTAAATAAACAGCTGTTTATCCCTATACATATGTTTAGCGATACTTTATAACGCAATGTTACCCAACCTATGAAATGCGCCAAGTGTATATATAGCTCCAAATAACATAATATTATTATTTTGTATGATAATAATAATTTAGCACTATCCAGAAGACATTACGAAAAGGTGGGTCACTAAACTCCAAAAAAAAAAAAAAATATTTTTATGAAAAACGAAAAGTATCTAGGTATAAATTGATGTATCTACCTATATAATTAAATGTAAATTGGCGGTCAAAAGAAACTTATTTTTCATTAATGTATGTTGTAAGATAATATTAATATTAATTTATATTTGTATCACTAGTAATGCGATATATTGAGACTATACCTACGAGTGTAACACTTGTTTTATATTTATCGGTGCTTTTTTTCAATTTGTTGAAATTGTACACAATATACTCATTTTTATGTAAATTTTTTTGTTGAAGCTCAATAGTTTAATTCGTAAGATTATCAATTAAAGACGAGATGTATTATATTACTATACACATATAGTAGAAATCAAATATGCCGAGCGAAATTTATTTAACTCTTTTTACTACACGTATGGGTAAAATTTACAGTTGTCCTTGTGGCCTTCCAAATGTTATTGATGAATCACATTTCAAAAGTTTAATATTAGTTGTATAAGATTAAAAGATTCAATTGTATAATATGTTGTATATAGTCGTATAGAGGTAGGCGTACTTATTATAATTGCGGAACAAGAACTTATTTTTGGTGGGTCTCCTAGGCAGATAGTGGAACATCATATAAAAAAAAGGTTGGGAAACTGCCGTATGGAATATATAATTTTTCAAAATGTAGGTAAATGATGTATTTATTATTCCTCATAATAAATTAATGATAATAAATAAAAACCAACCCTTATTTTTAGTACATGTAAATGGTTTTTTTTATGTTCCTATACTGACTAAACAGATGTTTTTACAATGACATTTTTCGATGTTTATCTTTACCATGATTAATGCAGGTACAATATGTTGAAATTTATTATTTACAAAATCGTCGAGTCAACAATAAGTTAATGAGGCATAATGAATGTGTTATCACTCATCAGATGATTTTTTAAATACATATTTTAAATTCTTTAAAAATCCCTAGGTATTTATTATAATATATTTACATTAATATTATGATACCAGATAAACTATAAAATTATCCAAGTCTCTACCTATATTTTATTATAGACTTAAAATGAAGAATAAAGAATTAAAAAAAATTATATTGTTATAATATGTACAAAAAGAACAATCAATAATACACTTCAATACGTCATAAGTCATAACTAAAATATTGTAACCTAGGTTTCCTAACACAACGATGTTACATCGCATAAGATCCATTTAAATTGCTACACTAATTTCCTACGTCAATGTTTGTGATCATAAAAATTTTTTCTTATAGCTTAAATCCCCTAAGTATTGGATATAATTTAATACAAATGTTATCATTAATTATCTTAGAACCATTGTACATATTTTATAATCATATATTACCTATATTATTATGATACATCATAATATTGTGCGTCATATTTGATATTAGTAGTCATTCATAACATAGATACCTAATAGGTATCCAAACAATTACATACACGATTGACATACAACTATATACTATAATATTTTTTGCGGATATTTTATTAGATTATTAGAAGTCGGCTTATATGACTCAATCCAGGAGTAGTACTATTTTAGTGTTATATTATATTTGTTATTGGTCTAGAACATTTATTTTAATTATACAAATATGTTTTATATTATTTTAAGAAATTAACCAGTCATAATAATTACATTTTTTTTTAAATTTTGAATGCAACTTTCAGAAATTAAAAAAAATGTTTACATTTAATGAGCCTATACCTAGACATAAACCTTCATGTACCCGTCGGCTGTAGGCCTATTTCTTGTAATAGTTCATTTCACAATTTAAACAGCATAATTAAAATCGCAATACTTATTATATATTATACGAATATAATATAGACTACTCGTATAGACACATTATTCAGAGGTTTAATATTCATTGTGTATTTGAACTTAAAATATAAAAACATAAACACAAAAACATGAAATAGTGTATAAGTATACTATATATTGGTGTTGCATTGTGTTTATTTACTCGGCCGTGCAATTTTTCGTATACAGCCGTGGGCAGTACATACAATTAATACAAGCCATTCCAATTAATACTGTTCCATTATTCAATTTTCTGTTAACCAATATTATCCTATAAAATGTAATAATATTATTACACAGGTGAAACAATATTTTAAAGTAAATTTACATAATGCCTACTCGAAACTCTGATCCGATCACGTAGGTACCATACCTATTATTACGAATATTATATTATATAATAGATTTATATATTATAAGAGTTTTATTGTAATAACTGTAAGTACTTATATAAATAGTACCTACCTAGTATACTAACTACGCCTATGCGTAGAGTACCTATTTCAAATACACACATACGAGAATGTATATTATACCTACGTTTAATATTTAATTCTGTTTATTCGTAAAATAGGTATATTTTGAAATATTGTGATTTGATAATATCAGCTATATATTTCGATTAAACATAGACAATTATCGGACCATTATTAAATAGCAGCAACCTAATAAGCAACAAGAAACTTACCATGCATGGTGACGGGTTCTTGTGAAACGTTCTGTATCTGTATATGTAAATTACGATTTGAGATAAGTAAAACAATGTGCCTACAGCCTACGTTTATTTTGTTTACTTTGGTCAGATTAACATCTCGAGGTTTTTTTTGTTTTTGTTTTTTTTTTTTCAAATGAACATTCTATGGAGAAATAAGATTGACGCCTATTAATATACGTATAATACTGTATATTATATTATACAGTCATTAGTACCTCAGTAGGTTAAATATTTTAAATAAATTCAAAACACACCGCAGAAGGTATAATATACTTAATAATTATTACTACGACGATAGGTTATATAATATGTATAATATGTATTAATAACTCGCGTTCGTCAAAATAACTTTTACAGACTGCACTAGTTTTGTAATTCGGGATCGCATTATGAAGTATGGACAGTATTATAAAGTTCTATTTAGAAAATATTTCGACAATAACGCTTTCAATAGCAATTATTAATTTAATATTATGACGTACTTGAACGAAAAAGACATTTTCGTAATTTCACAGGGATTGTCTTAAATGCATTCTAAAATAAAATTGTATAAACCATATTATAACCTGCAGCTAGTACACTATCAAACAAATATTGGAACATTATATTTTTAGGTACACCGATCAAATCTGGTATTGCTGTTAGGTGTAGTGTTTAGAATATTGTGGGAAATCAAAATAAATAATTATTTTCCATTGTTGAATACCACTTTTTAACGGAATGTCACATCTGTTGCGTCCTGATCGCTTTATTCTATCAATATAAGCAATATTACCAGCAAACTAATATATTTTTTTCAATATGAATTTTCCCGTAGGGATCACCAATACCAATACGTATACCGATCTGAAAACACACACTTTTGGACGTGAAACTTTTTCGGAAAGTTTGGTGCTGCTGTTGTGTACGTGACCGAAACGATTATAAGTGTGCTTATATAATATTATATATACCTATATCGAACACTGAATTGTAAAATAAACTCTTAGATTATTATGGGTAGGTAGGTAGTTAAAATAAATAATTACTATACAGACACTATTTTTTTAACAGAATGTCACAGTTATTTGCATTCTGCAAACACTATTCTGTCCATAAAATGTATCGATATTTTAATTATCAGCAAATGTACACATTATTTCAATAGCCAATTTTATCGTATCACTATAATAATATACCTATATGCAAAAACACACTTTTGGACGCTAAACAAAATATATTTTGGGAAACTTTTGTGCCCGTCTGTTGTGTCCGTGACCGAAACGATTATAAGTGTGTTTATAATATATACCTACCAAACACGGCTGTTGAGTTGTAAATTAAACTCGACGCAAACTTTATTCTTGCGATTATAACATATACTTACACCCAT